CTGCAGGAGCATCTGGCCTTAAAATGTTCTCCTTGAATAGGGAAGTAGTTAATTCGAGCTATTTTAACCAGAAATCTGTTAACTGATATTGTGACTCATTCTCCACAATGAAGTGAAAATAAAGTTTTCCCAAAGAATTGCTTAGTGCTGGATCTAATATTCATTCAGTCAGCACATCTCGTATGTTTCAAGCCCAGGTAAGGAATGAAACATTCAGTAGACAACCAAACCAGACACTACTCCTGTTTACCTGGAACCTGCATCTTAAACAGAAGACGTTTATCAAGTAAGTCACATGTGAATAAGCAGGTAAACGAAACCTGACATGACTATTAAGAAAAAAACAAAACAAAACAAAACAAAAACAGGCTGTTTTAAACTAGAGTGGCAGAGATGGGGCAGGTCTCGTTTCTGTTGGTGGTGGGAATGACTCAGAGACTTGAGGATTAGCGAAAAGGGAAATGGTGGTTTCTTGTGGAGGAAAATGAGCAAAATCAGAAGACATGAAAGTTCCCGAACAGTACTTGGTAAACAAAACACAAGTCAGGGAAAGAGTGACCCTGGTGAGGAGGAAAAGGAGAGAAGCATGTCACACAGAGATGCTCTATAAGACTTAAAAACAAGTGTATCTGGGTTGCAACAGGCCACCAAAAAGCTTTATCTTGTGTGTGGCGAACAAGGGGGTTAATTCATACTGTGAAGCTCACTCTCCAGTTCAGGAGAGTTAATAGTAGATGCTGGTACACAAGCATCCAAGTGACTCCAGATGGGGTTGGAATGAAGTGGGGAAGGATTAAATGAGTGAGTGAGAATAAGAAGCCAAGGATGATTCTGGGGTTTCTACTTAAGCCTCTAGTTTTTTTTTTTTTTTATGTGAATACTTGATTCAAGGGGAAATATTATCCAACCCCTTAGAAGTTTTAAGTTCTTAAAGGTAACCTGGTGGTTTGTAGTGTAAGCCTTTTCCAGCCACTCAAGGAATCCACCCCCACCTTCTACTACAAACACCTCTCACAATGGATCTCAGGATTTCCTGTGGATCTCAACATGTGGATCTCAACATGTGGGTCTCGACCTCCTGGGGGTCGAGAACCTTTCACAGGAATTGCCTAAGACCATCGGAAAACACAGATATTTACATTATGATTCATAAGAGTAGCAAAATTACAGTTATGAAGCAGCAATGAAAATAACTTTATGGTTGGAGGTCACCACAACATGAGGGTTGCAGCATTAAGAAGGCTGAGACCCACTGAACTACAGGCTGCTCTGGGGTTCTGGATTGTGGATTCTGATGTCTGCCTGACTTCTTGCGTTTTAGGCTCCCCTAGACTCATAGTCTCCAAAGTAGCTTCAAAGTCCTGTGGGCTTATTTGCTGGTGGCCAGAGGAAGATAGATACTCCCTGATCCCTGGAGAATTCTGGAAGATCCAGTTGCTCTTTAGACTTGTGCTTCTGCATGTTACGGGCTCAGGGCGTGGAAGAACGCAATTGTTTGCTTTTAGTTCTGGGGATCTCTGACCCCTGAACCCGCCTACTAAGCTCGGCCTTGACTCTTAGTCAGCAAAGACGAGCGCGAGCACAGCCCAAAGTTCGCTCCAGTGGAGCCAAGGAGCCTGCTACCAGTGGGACAAGCTGTTAGGCCGGCCTAGAGTGTTGCCCCGCCCCGGGGGCGTGTCCTCCGCGATCGCCCCGCCCCCACTGCCCGCCTTGGCTAGGGCAGTCAGTGCACCAGCTCTAGGGCAAGCTGAGGCTTCCGTGCCCGGGCTGGAGGCTGCGGTCACTAACAGAGAGTCTGCGTGCGTGAGTCTGCGGCCGGGGAACGCTGCCATGGCGGGTGTGCTGAGCAGGGACACACCGGACATCGAGGTACCCACCGCAGTCCCGGGGTGGGAGGGCCACCGAGGGGCGGAGGTCTGGGGGCGCGCCCGGGGCACAGCAGGTGACTCTCTAAGTTTCCCCAGGGGAGACTTGTCGGCCAGGAGGGACACGGCACCCTGGGACCAGGAGCTGGTCACTTCGTAGGAGACTTAAAGGTAGCCACCTTTCTCTGCCTTAAGTCACGGTAACCCAGAAGCTCCGAGTTCAGAGGCATGGACTCCAGGGGACCAGAGCGCCCCTTCTCACCCATACGACCCTGCTCCGTCCCCTCCGTGGCGTTGTGGGGCTCCCACCCAGTGCCCCCACCTTCAATAGCTGAACCTTGCTGTCTGCAAAAGTGGAGTCTAGAAATCCAAGATCCAGGCCGCTATCTCTAGCTTTGCTGGCCAAGGTATTGTTTACGACTTAATTTCACATTTGGAAGAATGGAACTAAGTACAGAGGACATTGGAAAGTACATCCTCCCCGGAAAGAAATACACAAACTGCCCTGTTCTCTCCTCTCAGCAGTGTTTAATTCTCTCTTGCATTCTGTTTCTGCAAAAAATCTCATCGCTCTGTGAATAAGTTCCAACCTGAAATGGCAAAACCTTTCGTTTGAGTTCTTCTAGGTACTTTAGTGTATGTGTGCTGGGGAAAAGATTGAGTTACAACCGTGATTTTAATCACACTGAATCAAAGCCTGTGTTTCTCGGGGGTTTCTGTTTCGTTTTGTTTAGGGTTTTTCTTCGAGATAAAAACAAAACAAAACTCCTGTAGAATATTTGCGCTTGCTCCTAGCCCCTCTTCCCTTCCTCCTTACCCCTCCCTCCCCCCAGCCTTTCCTCCCACCCTCCCTGTGCTTGTTTAGAAATAATAGGCTTTCCTCCTTTGTTCTGTTCCTTTGAATCAAGTTTAAAACCACCTGTTTGCAGGATAACTGGTTTTTGTCGCTGTTAACGAACCTTTATATGCTCCTAAAGGAAAGCTGATCGTGTTTTAACAGACTTCCTATTTGCCTTTGGAAAATTCATTTTAGTGATAAGAGCTAAAAGACAACATGTGGACTTCTTTATGTAGTTTACTTAGGACTTACCTTCATAGTTTCATTTTTGGATATTAAACAATGTGCTTGGTTTAATGAACTATTCATATGTGTACAGGACACAGATACCATGTCTGACTCAAGTCATGGTCCTCTGTGTACTAACCTGGATTTAACGACCCCGGCACATTTTTGTTGTTAGACTGAATCAGTTGTCTGTCCTCTGGCAGCATCCAGGCTGTGCAGACTTCAGGAATTAGTGTCAGAGATTAGATGACTTTTGGCGTCTAGCTGTTAAATTTCAGAGTGGTGTTTCAAGCTTAGCTGATTTCATTCTTTATGCTTCTCGTGCACCTGTCTTGGAAAGCAGTTTTTACTGGCATTCTTATGGAGAAAGTGAAGCTAGTGAGACCTTTTGTCGAGCTTAATTGTACAAACTTGATCCAAGAACATTTAATCACTTTGAGCCTTCCCTCCATTCAGCTGAGTGTAATCTTACTGTGTGGCCAGTCAGCCTGATGCACCTTGTAACCTGGTATGGCAGTATTCACCAGTCTGTACCTCTTATGTGCTGTTCAATGTGTGATCCGTACTCTAACCAGTAGCATCTTTTATCACCCACAATACTTTACTTTTCCCTCAAAGTATTACCTATGAATCATGAGCTAAAAATACCATGAAAGAGCGTGAAATTAATCATTAAAATATAACGCAGTGAGGAAAAATACATTAAGCAGGGAGGAACACACACAGAGATGTCTCCGTTAATCCTATTAACCCACTGAAGTTTTCTTTGTGTTGAAGAATCAGAATAAATTATGAAAGCTTAATTTTCTGTCAAATTCAAAAGCTTTCCTGAACACATTCATTAAAAACCATTGTGGGGAGAGTGATCTGATGGTGATCATTGTCTTTGTCTCAAATACATGGAGAAGGAGGCAATTTAAATAAGGTGGGAAATAGATGGGGATCAGAACACACTGATAAAGCACTTGATATTTTAGAAAAGTAGAGAAGGTAACGGAGGCCACCTACTGTATTAGTGATATAGTTTTCCCAGTGAGCTACCTGTAGAATATGGTTTCACAATCAGACACATATTTTGTCAAATTACTGAAGTCTTCAAAGTTGTTTTGTGTCTGTTTCTATGGGAACATAGTAGAGAGCCAGTTCACTAAACTGCACTTAGAAGGTTTCCTGGGCTGGAAGAAGGACATAGAAAGGGTATTCTAGTTGATGATAAGACCTAGCCTATAGAATCAAACATTGCTGTCTTTGTTGAAATTGCAGAAACGGTACAAGATGCCAAGTCATCTTTTGCTGTTGCATGGTTATCGCTCAGAACCCATCTTCTGGAGCTAACTACTGGGATTGGGGCCTAGCTTTGCTCCTCTGTGGCTAGGTGACCTTGCCCGTGTTACCTAGCTCTCAAAGCTGAAAGCAGTATGGAACATAAGAATGGTGTGGTTAGCACCTGCTACAGATACTGTTAGGGTCTGCGAGAAGTCCCATAAAAGACCACCAGTCATGTATGCAATCATCAAGAACATTTATTAATATCCAACATGTTGGGGTCTAACCATCCGGCAAAGTGGCAAATGGAGACCCTGAGAGAACCTCGCTTAATCAGGGTTAGGGGAATTCCAGGGAGGAGAAATTAGTCTGTAGGCTGATTGGTGGGTTTCTATGGATTGTTACAGGATTGGTAGGTGGTTCTAGTGGTTAGGGACTTGCCAGAGGCAGGGTAGGGAAAGCTATCCTTAGCTAGCAGAAGGCTGTGGAAGTACCTGCTGAGCCAGCAGAAGGCGGTGGGGTGCCTGCTGATTGGTTGCCCTTGAGCTGTGGTTTTCCTGAGAACTGCTTGCTCAGCTCCAGTCAGCTCCAGTAAACTGAAACTAAGGCCTGGTCTCTGGCAGGGGCTACTAGGAAAGCCTGTCATGGCTCTTGTCTGGCTGCCCAGCCCTCTCAGTACACAGCTTCATGTTAGGAAAAAGGGCCAAGGTTAACAAATAAATGAAGCAAAGGATGTTGTCATTAGAAAATTCATTTCCAACAGATAATTAGTACTTCAAAGTGGATTAATAGTAGCCACATAGTTTAAAATACCATTTTGCTTTATTATTTTGATACAGTCTAAATTTTGCAAAGCATGACTTTTGAATCCAGACTTTCCTGGGAGAGTTTCAAAGTAGGTAAGTATTGGCCACTGGTCACTTTCCCTGACCTCAGCAGTAATTTCACAGTATTTCTTCATTCAGACTGAGTCGCCAGCCAGTTTGATGTCAGTATCGGCACATCTAAAAGCAAGGAAGAATGATTGTTCAGAACTTCACTTTTGCTCCTGCTCTCCACTCACCTTCAAAGATAATTGGGAAGGGACAATGGAAGTATGTAGTTAAAGCTTTTAACCACCTGTACACTAGTCATTTTGGTATTTACAGCCAAACTAAGTTACTGCTTACTCCTCTGCAGCCTCCCCAGTCATAGCTGAAGTCCTTCCCTTGCATTAACCACTGAGTGAGTGTTCAGATTTACCCTGAACAGAAGAAACAAATTCCAGTCTGCTGCACACAAAATGGAGTGGGTCTGAGTCAAACAGAAAAGGTTCTTGTTGCTGCTCCTATGCCTTCTGCTGAGCTTCGAAGACAGTGGAGAACTTTTTGTACTTGGTAGTTAAGAAAGGGACGTTTTAAAATGAGGACTCTGGAAAACGGAAGTATAAGGAAGGACCTGCTTCAAAAGAAGGAAGACACAGGTTCAAAATTGGCAGAAATAGCAACATACATTTCAGGACATCTTTCATTATAATTGCTTCTGCCCCTGTATTAGGAAGAGCCAAAGGAGAAAAATTAGTGTTCAACTTTATGGAAGTTGAGAGTTATGTATTTATTTCATTCATACTTTTTTTTTCAAACTGAGTATATAATATTCCTTTCCTCTCTCCTTGTATTCATCCACTGGGCATCATAGAGCTTGTAGAAACACAATTGACAATGGTTTTTAAAGCTTTTTACTTAAAAACAATTAATGGGCTTTAGTTGTGGAATATGTGTTTTATCCTCCAAATTTTAAACTGTTCTGTGGATCACTTATTTTTAGAGTAGTAGGGAGTTTACTTGAGTAGTACAAACATGTATATCTGCTTATTTGCCTCAAACTATAATTAGTTCCATTGATAGTAGTTTGTGTGTAGCATACTGCATGTTTCTGCAGCTAGAAATCAGTAGTAGAACATATCATCCTATCAAGCTCTATGTGAACAGGCAACAATACAGGCTGGAAGGTAGACCTCCCCATAGAGTACAGATGTGCCATCACTCTGGGAGATTTTAAAAGCAGAAGTTCAAGTCCCAGAAGTTGGAGCAGGTGCACAGAAAGACAATGGGACTGCAAAAGAAGACTGCCCTAAAATGCCATGGCAAAGTGTGAAGAGAGCTTTGGCATGGTCCAAGCTTCAGTGTAGCTAAAGAGGAGCCTGAAAAACAGAAATGGTCAATTCATTGGTTTTTTTTTTTTCCTGTTTGCTATATGGACACAACAACAGCTATGTATTACAGATCTCCATTTCTTAAAACTGTGCCAAAGGGCTGGACTGTGCCAAAGGGCTGGCGGGATAGTCCTGTGCTTGTTGAGTGAGCAGGGGCACCTACCCAGGTGTGATCCTCCTCCTGGCTCACTGAGTAGCAGTGAGAGATTCTGTCTCAAAATACGGAATGGAAGTCTTCCTTTAGGAAGAGCACTCAAGGCTGACTTCTAGCATCACACACACGAACAAGTACACACACACACACACACACACACACAAAAAAAAAAAACTAGTACAGAAAATTTATTCCATTTCTATTCTATACTAATTAAAATGTGTAATCAGACATTTGTTGCTGGTAACATTATTTATTTATTTTATTAAGGAATTGTTAAACTCAGCCGGGCGGTGGTGGCGCACGCCTTTAATCCCAGCACTCGGGAGGCAGAGCCAGGCGGATCTCTGTGAGTTCGAGGCCAGCCTGGGCTACCAAGTGAGCTCCAGGAAAGGCGCAAAGCTACGCAGAGAAACCCTGTCTCGAAAAACCAAAGAAAAAAAAAAAAAAAAAAAAAAGGAATTGTTAAACTCATTTTACAAAGCAATCACAGATTCCCCCACTCCTCCCACCTCCTGTGCCTCCCACCTTCCCCCCAATCCACTCTCCATTCCCTCTTCCAACAAGGCAAGGTCTGCTGGTAACGTTACTTATAATCAAGAGTTTTATCTTCAAATATGACACGTTCACTTTCTGAATGTCATTTGCTTTTAAGCTTTCTTAAGACAGAAATGGTTTCTGGCCTCACGTATCAGTAGTGTTCAGTTTTCCTGGAGTGCGCTGTGTCACTGAGGTGACTTTGGGTAGCTTCATGTAGTTCTTGTAATACATGGTCACTATTATTTTTGTTATTCTTTCTTAAAATACTGCATTCTTAGGTACCAAGTGCCTGCATTTAAGACAATGAATAACTTTTACTTTAGGCAGTTTAGCACACTTGTCTACTAACTAGTGTTTGGAACTAAAAAATTTTGTATGAATTTATTTTTTAAAATGTCAATTTTATTCCATGGTTACTATTTAAAACAAGCATTGTATTAAAAATATTCAGTTAAAACTTGCATTCAAAATGGAAACTGTGAAACTTCACACTTAATTTTACACTTTTAGTATTGAATATATTTTATGCACTTAACCAACACCTAAATAACAAAAGAAATCTATGACGGAATTAGAACTAGAAAAATAGTTAGCCTTATATTTTTAAACTCATACAACTGTATGTACAATTCTAACTATATGTACGTTCATCAAGTTGCATAATCTTTGGGTTTGGTTAATTTTCATATGTGATGTTTTTATTTCATTCCAAATTTTTTATAATGAAGTAAAATAAATAAGAAAAAAGTTATAATATATATATATTGAAATATATATATTGAAATATATATATATATATATTGAAAAGTACTGGTTCTGCTGTTTCCTTGGATATTTGTTTTTATTTATTTATTTATTTATTTATTTATTTATTCATTCATTCATTCATTCATTCATTCATTCATTTAGTTGTTTCATGACAGGGTTTTTCTATGCAGCCTTTTTCTGCCTTCCCAGTGCTGGGATTAAAGGCTTGTACACCATGCCCTCCAGGCTATGTCTTTTATTGTTATGGCCTGTCCTTTCTTCATCATCCAATTGAAATTGATCTTATTTATTTCCCACATAAGAGATGTGAGGATTAATACATAAAACACCTTCACATAAAATGAATGCATTTGAAATGGTAGTTCAGGGGCAGGTGAGGCGGCTGGGCAAGGAAGGGCCCTTGCTACCTAGCCTGATGCCTTGAGTTCAGTCCTGGAGCCAACATAGTGGGAGGAGAAAACCAATTCCTGCAAATTGTCCTCTGACCACCATGACTGTGCTGTGGAATGTACATGCCTACTTACAGATACACATACACACAATGTAAATAAATTAATGAATAAAAACCAAAATGGTCATGCCTATTGGCTACATGAACTGTCTTTTACGGTCATTTGGATAGAATTCGCTGGACTTTAAGGATTTCCTAGACATGTTAGAAACTGGTCTTCTTTTTAAACAGATATGTGAAAGTAGAATCTAGATTTTGTGGGGGGAGAGGAAACATAATGAAATTCAAAGAATTACCAGGGACACTCAGTGTGGACCCATGAATGCTGCGGGTGTGTGTTATGAAAGTTGTTGATGGTATGGGGAAGTTAATGACATTCAGGTCAAATTAAAGATTCCTGTTTGCCTTCATTGCTACTTAATGTATGCTTCTAATCCTATGTTAATGCCAGCCCCCTAGTGCAGGCCTCAGGGAACACAGAGGAATTATATGGTAGAGACCTCATCTATTCAGAACTAGCAACATCTAAATGGTGGAATGAGAATAAAATTCAGGGCTTTCCCCTTTTATAATCCTTTTATTTTTTTTCCAAACTATACCTTACATATGGATAGATTCTTCAGCAATTTTAATACAATATCAAAGCTGATGAAAGGGTAAATATTATTTGAGGATATCCATTTATTAAAAGTTTGAAGCAATTTGATGTTATTCTTTTCCTAAAAGAAATCCCATGCAACTGAAATATAACAAGATATTATTTGTACTAAATACAAGGTTTTTTTCCTAAGCAAGCACATACACTTTAAGTCACTTTTTTCCCTTGGATTTTCAAGTGTCCGTGAGCAGACCACACTCGTATTTGATAGTTTTCTTAACTCCTGGGATGCGGTAGGTTAGAGGCCAAACTCTTCTGTTCCAAGCAATTGTATGAGTACTCTTTCTTAACAGTGACCAGGTATCCTAATATTGTATACATCCTGATTATTTTCTTGGAGAATTTCAGCCGGGTTGTGTAATGCATTCTTCCTTCCTTCTGCCTGTATCATAATAATTAAAGAGGCCACGTGAGTCCCTGTCTCCCAGGTGCTTGGAAATTGATATTATGAGTGCTTATGAATGTCCCCTTGAGGCAGTCTTGACTGGGCCACTTTGAAGAAATATCTCTTCATCAATAATTAAGCCCCGAGGGCCACTTCTCAGGGGACACACAGAAAATTACATGTCAGCTCCAGGACTGATTTATACAGATGGTGGCCACAGATGAAGCCCTGAGTGCATGTCTACATCCTAAGTTGTTGTTTTTTCTGTTTGTTTTGTTTTGTTTCCTGCAACTTTAAGTTTGGACCCATCACCACTTTCACTTCTCTGGGAAAAGTCATCCCCTCCTTTGACTTTGGTTCTACATGCCCAGGTTAACACATTTGGGTGTTTTAATCCTTGTGAAATTCTTTGAATGTATTAAAAATTGTTTATAGTAGCATGCTGAGACTTTTAAAAGTTTAGTATTTCTAACAAAAGAGTAACATGAATGTCTTCAGCAAAACAATAGAAAAGACTATCTTTCTTTCTTCCTTTCTTTCTGTCTCTCTTTTATTTCTCTCCCTCCCTCCTTCCCTCCCTCCCTTTTCCTCCCTCCTTCCTTCCTTCCTTCCTTCCTTCCTTCCTTCCTTCCTTCCTTCCTTCCTTCCTTCCTTCCTTCCTTCCTTCCTTCCTTCC